ATATTAGAATCATCAATGTGTACACATGTATGCCAACATTATTTTCAAGTCAACTATATACTACTGAAAATGAGCATTGATTCATTTTATACTACTAATAAACACTTGATAAGTTGAATAGTAGTCATTTTATTTTGGTTTATTGTTAAACTTTTAAATAAACAAGCAAACAGATAAAAGATAAACAAAAGATTCTCTATGTCTACTTTGAAAAAAATTATATTTCAGTAGTATATCCACCAGAAATTTAATAATGCTAATGATTTAAATGGTATAAATCTGTATGAAGGTTATGAAGATTGTTAAGTTTTTGAATGAGATTATGAATCGATTCATGTTAAGAGGGATGAGCATTGTTGAAGAGTCCCATATTAGGATGAAATCGCTGTCCAGTATTTATAGGTATTCAATGATAGTCTAAGATAAATCGATTCATGATCTCAATTATTAAATGATATTTAACAGAATTTTCTAAGTTATTTCAATTTGTATTAGTTAAGTGAATCCTCTTATTGATATTTAGGATTGTAAGCGATCAGGCTCTTATTTATATATGTGCATACTGTGCGTATTACGTTGATATTGCCTTAATTCACAAGCACTATAAGCAAAGAGACTGATCCATTTCATTCTTAAACACCAATGAGAAGATTCAAGTAAACAATATCAATTGAATTTAAACTACACCTCATTGCACAAGTAAGTGACCATCAGCATTCAATAACTAAGTGGATCATGCGATGAAGTTTGAAGTAAACGGTAATGGGTTCGAGTCCCAGCCCAGAGTGAACACCAAATCTGTGATGAAGATACATCGAGCTGACGAGATACAAATAGTATGAAACGCGCATCCTGAATTCCACTGCTAACCATTATCCATCGTTTCTCTGTTATTGATTGAAATTTCGACGATAATTTTGAAATGATGAATTCCAGTTTATTTCAGTGAATTGAGGTCAAATGAAGATATTATGTATGTTAATTTGATGTTATCAAAGATTTCCACTGATTTCATCTGTTTATTTTTCCTTAAAATAGAACTAATCAGTGCTTTTAGAAATGTATTAGGTCAACCAATCTCCAGTTCCTATAACATTCATTGTAGTTGTTTCAAGTGGCGTATTGAATTCAATGGTAATTACTTTATACATTCAGATCAAATAATTGGCCCGTCCAAACACTGATATTCCGTTTTAGTAAATCAATGGTATAACTCAACTGGAATATCTATTTTATGGATGGAACTACAATTCATGGAAGACTATTAGGTGATGCCAAAGTAAACTGCCATGTACAAACTAAGATTTAAATAGCGTTATCAATTAGTGTGAGAAATTAGAATCGGAATGATTAATTCATTCCAATCAAAAATTCATGAAAATCAGTTAGTCTAGTTCCGTAGTTTCCAGAAAATACATGACTAAATTGTTTGAATAGTAAAATCTAATGGTGTGATTAAACCCAAAAAGTTACAAAAAATAACATTTTTAAATCTTACTACTGAAAATATTTTAAGTAGTCAAGTCAATTTCGGCTATATTAGGTACCACTTGGCTTGTGTCTTCCTATTGAGGCTTAAGACTGCAATTGATCAGTCTGTTATTGACATATGTGCATACTGTGCGTATGCCTCGATATTACCTTAATTCACAAGCTTTTTTGTAAGCAATAATGGATAGTTGCTAGCAGTGGAATCCAGGGCGCGCGTCTCGTCCTATTTGGGACTCGTCAGCTGGATGTATCTGCATCTCAAAGAGTTGATGTTCACTCTGAGACTTGAGCCCAGTATCATTCACTGTAATGGGGTGAATTTAAATTCGGAAGGTGAAAGAGATCATAATTTAAGGATGATACCATTGTAATAGATGTGAAATATTCAACAATGAATTAAAACATTTTTATGGAATAATGATGTTGAACAAGACTCATAGGGCTTAGTCAAACTTTCAAATATAATCAGTGTCACTGAAATATATAGATGACTGCAAAATTCAAATTTCTAGGCCGTTCCGTATCTTCTAAAACTCGAAATTTCATTATCAGACCTATTTAGTACCCACCATACTAATAATTTAACAAGTGTCTATCTGGACATTTTCCTGTGTGACTTGGAAATAGCCAGACTAAGACAATATGAATCTCATTTATGCCTCAACTGTTTAACAGTGGTTGCATAGGAAGTAAGACCTAAACATTTCTAGTGATCTCTCGTATCCCAGAATAGAATTCCATTCCGTCTCCTACATATGACATAAGATATAAATATCCAAACGAATAACCCTAATTTATGCCTCCGAATCCCCTGGTACGCCCAACAATGGGGAGAGTCAGCACTCTCTCTACAAATTCTCTCACATGACACGTGCATACAACCACTGAAAGGGAAGGCTTACTCACTGCCTTCTCGCACCACGGGTGTTGTTTACGAAATTGAGAGGACGGAAAGCGAATATCCGGCGCTTTAACCGGATTGGTGGATACAGAAGATCTACATAGGCGAGTTGGAAAACCCTGATTCCATACCAATAGTGTACATGGCCTCCAGTATCCTGGTGAAACAAATAACGTATGAATAAATTATTGGTTACCGGCTACCATGGAACTTCATCTCCTAGCTTTGCTTTAGTGCCTTGTGGATTAAAGCTTACATCAATCGGTTCATGATCTCAATCAAAAACTCAATAATCTCCACTACCCCTATACTGATAATGTTCATAAATCCCTATTTATAACTTCGTATAAATTAGAGAGGAGTTATGTGGATATTATAGTATTTTGATAGTTGAATTCATGAGTCAATGAAAGCTAGACAACCATGGAAAACCTGGAAGTACTGGATGGCCGAGTATTCCCATACTAGGACGAAACGGCAGTCCAGTGCTTCCAGATTTTCCATGGTTGTCTAGCTCTAATTAACTCATGAATTGAACTATTAAATTCTTATATATTAACATAAAGCCGGCTGTCAGTCCAAGCCCACATGTTATTAGACAGTAATTAAGTGTAGTGAGCGATTTAATTCTTCACCATATATATATATATATATATATATATATATATATATATATATTGGGTTGTATAGTAAATGATTCTATCGTTTGAGATCAATTCTATTTGGCTTTAAGACCAACTCCGTCAACGATCAATCAACATCACAATAAGCCAAAAATTATATGAATAAAATAGTGGCTACTGATTTTATTTCAAGTAATTTATATAAATTCCAGAAAATAACTTAAAACCAAAAACATTTTCAGAAAGAGGTTTTGTGGAGATTGTAGTAATTTAATAGTTGAGTTCGTGAATCAATTGAAGCTAGATCATCATGAAAAACTTAGAAACATTGGACGTCCGTTTCACCCCATTGTGAAATTCCTCAGCAGTGAGCATCCTCAAAACCGCACACGACATCTGAATCCAGGACCTCCGGTCTCGCGAGCGATCGCTTTATCTCTAGACTACTGAGCCGTCCGGCGTTTAACAGTATTAATGTCTAACTTCAACTTATCCACCAAATTCAGGTACAATCCACCACTGTCTTGAATGAGTTACTATTTCACAATAAACCTGGTTGTACTCCACTGGTCACGGCTTCTCTCCAGGAAATACATTTTGAAACTAGTCACTAGTGAGCATATGATGATTATAATCACAGAGGGGTTTCATGGATATTTTGACCCTAACAGTTGAATTGATGAGTCACTGAAAGCTAGGTCACCATGGAAAACCTAGAATCACTGGATGACCGTTTCATCCTATTGTGAAACTCCTCATCAGTGATTTATTTGTTTTATCGACCATTCCTATCAATTACATTTGTGTTTCTATTCCTATTTCCTTTGTGCATTAAGTTCTTCTTTTTTAACCTTGATAGAAAAAAAAACAGAAGTTAATTGTTGTTTGTTTTTGTTTTCTGATTACAATTTTATTAATACAATAACAGAAATCAATAAATCAATAAATCAATCAATCAATAAGTCAATCAATAAATAAAAAGTGAGACAAATTACAACTATCAACTTCATTTTGTTTCATGTTATTCAAATACTATTAAAGTTTCATAAAGTAAAATTGAAGAAATTTCAACAAAAACACAAAGAAAAAAAAGGAATAATAATAATAACAACAGTGAACTATTCAAATAATTCACAATCTTTTCTTTTCTTTATTTCTTTTTTTCTTTACTCTTTCATCATTTCATTTATGCTCAAATCAGTTTTTCTTTCTTTTATTTTTCTTTTTTTAAAAAAATGCTAATCATAATACATTAATGTATGTGTATATGTATGTATGCATGTATACATTGAGAGAGTGAGAGGAAGGGAGCGAGAAAGGGAGATAGGGAGGGAGGTAGGTAGGGCGAATAAAAGAGAGAGAGAGAGAGCAAAAAAAACAATCAAATTTCGGGATGTTTTTACAAGTGAAATCACTAGATCAACATTTAAATCAACCTGAAATCAAAACAAAAAATCAATAAAGAGTACATGGTGATTAAATGTGTTCAATGAAAAATTGTATCTATATAAATTTTATTTTCTAAATTCATTTATTTAATGGTTTATTATCATTTTGATCATGGTTCTTTTCTCTTTGCTTTTCTCTTTTTCTTTTTTTCCGTTTTTTTGTTTCTTTTTTATATATGAAATGTGTAAAATTAAGAAAATTGTATGTAAAAAATGTTGTTGTTGTTGTTGTTTTTCAATGATTGAACATTGAAAGAAAAAAAGACAGAACAAAACAAAATAAATCAAGAAAAAAATAAAACAAAAAGAAGATCAGATAAGAGAAAAGAAAAAGTAGACATAATTGAATAGCATAATGGTGATAATAATAAGTAGTATCTTTCACAATGGATTCATTTGAGTTTTGTTTTTTTTTACTTCTATCACTCATTATATATATCTAACTATTTCGAATAGAAAACTGGTATATTATCTTGTTTGTTTTAATTGAAACATTGAATATACTTTATTTAATCTTCTTTTTCTTTAATTTATATAAACAACTATTGTCAATGTTCAATGAATACACATTAAAAAAACATTCATTACAATTTTATGAAACAATCATAAATACAATAGATTTTTTTTGATAGATTCTATCAAAAAATTAATAATAATAATAATAGTAGTAAAGTTCATTTAAACAAACATTTTTCTTTCATCTTTTCTTTTTCTTTCTCATTCTTTTCTTTTTTTGCTTTCTTTTTTCTCTTTTTTCTTTTTCTTTCTTTTCTTTTTTCTCTTTCTCTTTTCTTTTGGCATAAATCTTATTCATCTCATCAGAATGAACAATTTTCAATGTTCAATCGTTTCTGTTTGTTTGTTTGTTTGTTTGTTTGAAAAATCATCATGAATATAAACAAAATTTAAACAATAAAAAATAAATAATTTTAATATAAGGAAAAGTATAGTATGATTGAATAAAGAATAAAAATAGAATAAACATAATGATGTAATCCATTCGATCTTATTTAAATAGGTTAATGTATGCCTAATATTGAAAAGAAAAGGACAACTGAAGAGGGACAAATAAACAGGACAAACACTCATAATCACTACCGTAATAATGATAATAATAACAACAACAGACCCCCTCTAAAAAGAAACAACAAACGTACATACATAGATACATACAATGAGACAATAAAATCAAATCAAACATAAAGAAAGATCACGAGATACAGGAACCAGCCTGTGTTGAATGAATCGTACGACATCAATAATTAAAATAATAATAAAAAAAAGAAATTACCATTTGGTTTTGTGTATGTGTTCGTTTGTGCTCATGTGTGTGTGTGTATTTGTGTAACTTCATGAACAGGACAATGTTAATATTAGAAAACAAATTGTTGGAATGAGTGGACACCAGTCAGTCAAATTACGAATGTTGGGCATCATATTACAATATATATATATATATCTATATGGTATCGTAGTGGCTTTCCTAAGTACAACTTGCTTATATTATAAGTAGTATTAATGATAGAAGTATAATGATATTAACAGAATAGTTTATTCACTGAGGACATGATTTTGCATTTTGATTCAAAGGATTACATCTAATTATATACAGTTTACACAATACTACTAATATTAATATAAGTAGTATTAGTACTAGTAGCAGTAGTAGTAATGGTAGTAACAGTAACAATAGTGATTGAGAATAATTAAGAAAAGAAACGAGACGAAAACCAGAATAATTCACCTTTAAAACAGACCAGTTACAAAAAAGAAAGTTTATCAAACAAAATTCATTGTAAACTCTGCAGAGAGAGCAACGGAGCGACAAATAGAGACTGAGATAGTGAGAGAGAGAGAGAGAGGGAGAGAGCGAAAGAGATAGGGAGATAGAGAATGTGAATGAAAACTGAAAGAGATAATTTTCAATTATCAACATTCATTTTTGATTGAAAACTTATCACCACATTATCATGGGATAAAGAAAGAAAGAGCGAACGAGAGAGCAAGAGAGCAAGAGATTAAGATGGATAGAATTACTTCCTCATTAGTTGACTGGTTTCATTTGTATGTATGTATGTAGGTGTGTGTGTGTGAATGTGACAGTGTAAGTGTGAATGTCAATGTATACAAGTTACATTTGTTAAAAATTCAAAATAGACCATCTATAATCAACTTTGTCCATTCTTCATTTCTTCAATCATATCTTTATATAATTTAGAATTTAAAAAACGTGGATATGAATCTCTATGCATTAAGGTATAAATTTGTAATTGGGCTTCATCAAATATATGCGGTGTTGGTTCTATCATATTAGAATTGATTATTTCACGTACACGTGAATCTAAACTAACCTTGAATCGGTAAATAAATAAACAAACAAATGAAGTCAATGTTGAGAAAAAATAACTTAATAATGTTAAATAATATAAAATATTGAATCATCTAGACGAGTGGCTACATTGCAAGTTGGTCGGTATCATCCAATGATCAATCCATTGTGATTACATCTTAGTCCTACAGAAGATCGGTCGCGATCCAGATAGCTCAATGGTAACGCGTCTCTGACTGTGAAGCTGGGTGATACGGAATCGAATCCGTCAGGGAGCACTAGTTTCCTTGCTGATGAGTGTTAAATAGCACAAAACCTGTGTCTAGGGTTTCCTGTTGACTACCTCCAACTACCATCCTAAAATTAAATATTCATTTCAATTAATGTAACTCTTGATGGTGAAACTATGGAAGATGTAGAATCCTTCACATACTTGGGAAGCATCATCGATGAACAAGGAGGTTCAGATGCAGACATAAAGGCGAGAATTGGCAAAGCAAGGGCCACATTACTACAATTGAACAAAATATGCAACTCAAAACAACTGTCTGCCAACCAATATCAAAGTTAGAATCTTTAATACGAACGTCAAGGCAGTACTACTGAACGGAGCGGAAACTTGGAGAGCTACTACAACCAGCATCAAGAAGGTACAAGTATTTATAAATGGTTGTCTACGCAAGATACTCAACATCCATTGATCGGATACCATCAGCAACAGCCTTTTGTGGGAGAGAACAAACCAGCTTCGATCTGAACAAGAAACTAGGAAAATTGGATGGAAATGGATAGGACATACATTACGCAAATCATCACGAGGCAAGCCCTAATTTGGAATCCTGAAGGGAAAAGGAGAAGAGGAAGGCCAAAGAACACATCACGTTGAGAAATAGAAGCAGATATGAAAAGGATGAATAACAACTGAGATGAGTTGGAAAAGATTGCTCAGGACAGGGTTGGATGGAGAATGCTGGTGAGCGGCCTATGCTCCTTCACGAGGATTAATAGGCGTAAGTAACTAAGTAAGTAAGTTATGTGCTATGAGAGATGTTTTAGTCAGCTATCCCCATTTGGTTCCCTACATTGTAGGAAGAAACTTCTTCTCAAAGTATATCTAAAGGGAATTGGATTATTAGAGATATTGATGATCTGATAGAACAAACAGCAGTTGCTTGAAGCAAATCCCACACAATCTTTACATTAGTAGTTCTTAATGTGTTAGCTCTATACTGTGAAGATCTTATAGACGGTAAGATAAATCAGTAGGTCATGGTAAGATAAATCATTTTTACAGTTCATCTCTTATAACTCTTCAATTTTCTATTATGGAAAAATACTATAGCTCCAAGAACTACAACAACCACAATCAAGAAAGTACAAGTATTTATAAATAATTGTCTACGCAAGATACTCAACATCCATTGATCGGATACCATCAGCAATAGCCTTCTGTGGGAGAGAACAAACCAACTTCCAGCTGAAGAAGAAATTAGGAAAAGACGATGGAAATGGATAGGACATACATTACGCAAATCGTCAAACTGAATCACGAGGCAAGCCCTAACTTGGAATCCTGAAGGGAAGCGGAAAAGAGGAAGGCCAAAGAACACATTACGTCGGATAATAGAAGCAGATATGAAAAGGATGAATTACAACTGGAAGGAGCTGGAAAGTATTGCCCAGGACAGGGTTGGATGGAGAATGCTGGTGAGCGACCTATGCTCCTTCACGAGGAGTAACAGGCGTAAGTAAGTAAGTAAGTAAGTAAGTACTATAGCTCCAAATGCTGGTTGTTTGAAGGAAATCCCTTTCTTCCAGTATATCTCATCATAGTCAATGGTATAAATTTGCCCTTGGATACTTAGCTGCTACTTTTGTTTATACGGTTCTCCAACCGATAATTTATGGATGAACCAATCAGATTTCAAATAACAGATCTTAGATTTTGGCGCAAAATTTCATTCATTCATATGACTAAATAACATTTTAGCATGATAGCCAATGTCAATGTTTGGTAAAAAGCTTCAACTTTAATTCCTAACCATAAATTCTAAGTGTAAATCTTTCGCTTACTTCCCCCCTCCCACTAATTTACAGCCCTATTTTGATCATGTTAAGTAGACTAGTTGTTTCAAGGTCATTTTAGCATTGCTCAAAGGTCGTTCATAGATTATAGTGTTACCATGGTACCTTTACAATGACATAATGAGCTACATCTTTTCAAAATTCAATATGACAAAACTTTACTGAATAAAAAAAGTTGTGTTAAACAAGGAGATATTACCACTTGAAACATGATTGGGAAATAGGATAGATTATAACAACTCACATGCGATTGAATTTGTTCTCACTTAACTCAATTAAGCCCTTTTGTTAACTTATTTAGCGAACAAAGTCATCTATACTATAACAACTTGTTGTACCTTTATTTTTGTTGTGCATGTATGAAATATGTATGCATGAACATTGCTTACCGCTTACGCATATATTCATTCTGCTAGCTTTATTAGTAACTGCTTAATTGATTCGATGATCCATTCATTTCCTTATATATATACATGTACATTTAAACCCCACACACTAACCTACTCCTTCGAGTCTCTGACTCAATCAGTTGCCTCTCTGCTTTGTGGTCTGAATTATCTACTAGTAAAACTGTAGTCGCTGCTTCTCTTTGCCTTCTGATTTCAAACACCGTTGAGGATTATATGGTAACGGATACGAGGGTGATTGGTCAACAAAGCACAGCCACTACAAGCTATCAATCAATACAGATTGGATAACAGTTGAGCAATATTGAGAGTTGATTGAATATACAGATGTAAACTATCAGACAAAAACCGAGTAATAGTCTAAGTGTTAAACGTTCATCACAAAATCTTAAGAGTATGGATTCGATCATCATCAAGGTTATGAATGTATAATACTCTTTAAACAACATCTCCAAACCCTAATCTTCCCGATTACTGCTTATATTCTTACTACATCTACCAATATGGGATTTGAATCGACAACTGCATCTCTGTGCTAATGTGGTATGGCAACTCGAACTGATATACGTACGTACGAAGTTCTACATTGTTACTAACTGATTGAGATCAAACCAGCTATTGAATGTTTTCTAGTTTTCAATGGTTGTCTAACTAAACCTACTCCATCAAACAAATTTACAAACTAATTAATTAAATATGTCAGAGTGTTCATGAAGTTTCCTATTACTTTGATTATGATTATGAACCAATAATAAACAGAATTGAATCATTTAAGATTACATGGATACGCAACATTTGAAAGCTTGCCAACTTAGAATCTATTGTTATCAGTGTAATTAAGATACATCAATATACTGGGGGGGGGGAATAATAAGATATGTAACAATTGAATTCATGAATCAATTAACGCTAGATCATCATGGAAAACCTGGAAGAACTGTATGGCCGTTTCATCCTAGTCTAAGACTCTTCAGTAATGTGAACCCACGATACCATTTCGGGAGATTCCAACCCTGGACCTATCAGTCTCGCACGTGAACTCTTAACCTCTAAACCACTGAGTCGGTCAGCATCCAATGGTGTGAATATCTAACTTTAACCAATTCAATTATTGAATTAATATAATCTTCACAAAACCCCTGTCTGAATAAGATCTTTATTAGATTACTTATTATCTTACAAATGTAATGAGTTTATAGAGTATACATCTACAAACATCTGATTACCAATGTTAATGAGTAGAAAGAAACCTGTTTTATATAAATGAAGAAATCATGTATTCTTTGTTGAAAAAAACATTACGGTCTATGGATAACGATAAAACTTCATTATCGTTCGTCATTTCGAACTTGCAAACTTTATGAACAAAGAGACTGATCCATTTCATTCTTAAACACCAATGAGAAGATTCAAGTAAACAATATCAATTGAATTTAAACTACACCTTATTGCACAAGTAAGTGACCATCAGCATTCAGTAACTAAGTGGATCATGCGATGAAGTTTGAAGTAAACGGTAATGGGTTCGAGTCCCAGCCCAGAGTGAACACCAAATCTGTGATGTAGATACATCGAGCTGACGAGACACAAATAGTATGAAACGCGCATCCTGAATTCCACTACTAACCACTATCCATCATTTCTATGTTATTGTTTGAAATTTCGACGATAATTTTGAAATGATGAATTCCCGCTTATTTCAGTGAATTGAAGTCAAATGAAGATATTATGTATGTTAATTTGATGTTATCAAAGATTTCCACTGATTTCATCTGTTTATTTTTCCTTAAAATAGAACTAATCAGTGCTTTTAGAAATGTATTAGGTCAACCAATCTCCAGTTTTTCATAGCACTCATTGTATATGTTTCAAGTTACATATAGCTCACGGTCTGCTGCTGTTCTGAACTGTATCTTTGAGACGGAACTTTATTCATTTTCAAGTTTTACAGTTAACAAACAAAGAAGTAATTTTCATAGTTGAGTTCATGAGTTAATTGAAGTTAGATCTCCATGGAAAACCTGAAAGCACTTTAGATATTTCCTGGAGTTCTAATGAGAAGCTGTGACCAGTGGAGTTCAACCAGGTCTTTTGTGAGATAATAAATCACTGAAGGTAATGGTAGATGGTGACTCAACTCGGTGGACTGATTGAAGTTACACACTAACACCGTTAGATGCCGGCCAGCTCAATGGTCTAGATGTTAGGCGTTCGCGTACGAGACTGATAGGTCCTGGGTTGAAATCTCGCGAGGCATGGTCGTGGATGCGTACTGCTTAGGAGTCCCAAACTAGGACGAAACTGTCATCCAGTACTTCCATGTTTTCCATGGTGGTCCAGCTTTCATTGACTCATGAATTCAACTATCAAAATACTACACTATCCACAAAAACTTCTTCCTGATAAACAAGTAATTGATTAACAAATGCAATACAAACTAAATTTTCATAACTCACTTCACGTGGTGATAATATTGAAATGAAATCTTCATAAATAATACGAGCTTTTTCTTCTACAATCTCTAAATTACTTTCTTTTCTAATATCTTCACATGCTAACCAAAACATTATATTCTCTTCACTGTATTCAGATCGAAGAAATTCACGAAATGTTTTCTGACCACCTTAAAAATACAAAAAATGAAACGATTAATATACTTCGCAACCAATCAGAGAAAAAGATGTATTGTGGAAGCTGAGTAGTTCTAACGTGACCTTGGAACCCGTAAATCTAATTGGCCGATAATTATGCATGAAATGATTAGGCCATTTCTGACCATATATGGAACTGAAACATTCACAGTCGTTTTGTGTAGCTTTCGAAATAAATCGAATCTGATAACGAGTTATTTAATCTCAAAACCAAATTATCTCAAGTGAATAAAGTCACTTTGTATTTAGTAGTGAATAGTTTTTCAGTGACTAATTTAATTTAGTTTCTGAACTTCCATAATTGGATGGTCTAATTGTAAAACTTTTGTTTGAAGTGTGAACGGTACTGGATTTGAGTCCCAGAGTGAACATCAACTCTGGGATGCAGGTACATTCAGTTGATGAGACCCAAATAGGATGAAGCGTACGTCCTGAATTCCACTACTAACCACTATCCATTTTTGCTTATAAATTTTGTGACTTAAGGCAATATCGAGGCAATACGCATAGTATGCACATATGCTAACACGAGAGATTGCAATCCTAAACATCAATGGGAAGATACAAGCAAACAATACCAAGTGACTTTCGCTATCATCGGCTGTGAATTGGAATAGAAGCAAGGATCTTTATCATTTCACAAGTAACAAGTTAGTTCATTCTAATGACCTTGAATCTGAGTAATTATTCACTCAGGTTTCATAGTTTTCATATGTCCATGTGTTCCTATGGATTGTTTTTCTTTTGTTTTAGTTAACCTCTAATCATGTAATTAGTTGATGTTTTACTCATTAATTTATATCGATGTGTCTGCTGAATGCAAATTAAACTCAATTCACTGCTTCTTAAACTTTCCTGATTCTCCTTAGAAGTTACTTCAATCCAGAATTTTTGATATTATCTCTTTCAAATGCATGTTAGTAATTGTCAGCATAAACTGATATAAGTGATAGTATACTATACCCATTCATTCCTTGTCAATCTTCATGTTGTTTGAGGTTACAATGGAAACTATAATATTGTTAATGAATGGATGAGACGATAATTTATGGACGATCTTTGATCGACGCTAAAGTGGCCTTGAAACTGTCCACCTACTAACTAGGGTTAGATGAAGGTTTGAAACCTGTGTGAAGGATAGGGACTGTGATTTACAGTTGATGGTTAGGGATAAAGATTAGATTTAGGCTTTTCATCACGAACTGACATTAGCTAAAATGTCAAAACGTTATTTAGCCAAATAGATAAAGAATTTCACTTCGAAATCCAAGACCTGTTATCGCAGCTCTGATTGATTCATCCATAAATTATAGTCTCGCCATTAAAAGTTATGATTATGTAGATACTATTCTATAGTATATCACTTCAGGATCAAAAGGTTGTGAATACTGTATGATTAAAGCCTTGTTTCTTTAATTATTTGCTTTAAAATAGCTTTGGTTTTTGATAAACTCGCATCGTTGCTGTATTCTAATGTCATACGAACAATACTTATTATCGTCAATATGATATGATTAAGATATGTAGATTATTGAGTAAAATGAATTATCATTAAATTACTCTTTACATAGGAACTTCATATCACCTATCTAGAGTTAAGGAGCTAGGTATCGTCAGTAGACAGTACATTCGAATAAGTACAAATGAAAGCTGATATAATACATTGGTACAAGGAGGCACCCAACAGATATGCGCTACATAAATCATTCGATTTATATGAGTGCTGGAAGAGTACCTGGATGCCCAAACCAAAGCAGGTGGTGTTCTTAAGGAGCCACACTCGGAGCCTTAGACCTTATGATCTGATCCACAACGCAGTGGAGCCACGTCAGGAGATGAAGTTCCATGATATCCAGTGACCGACGATTGGTTCATACGACATTTGTTCTCTCTGAATCCCATGTATACCATTGATTTGGAATGAGGAGTTCCCAACTCCTCTACGTGGACTCTCCATATCCACCAACCCGGTTATAGCGCCAGACATTCACTCTTCGTCCTCTGAATTTCGTAAACAACACCCGTGGTGCAAGAAGGTAGTGAGTAGAACTTTGCTGGTAGTGGTTGTATACACGTGGTCACTTGAGAGCATTTGTAGAGAGATAGCTGACTTTCCCATTCTCGGCCGTACTATGGCATTTGGGGGCGATACAATTCATGCTTAATCAATAAATTATACATTAATACTTAACATGAATATTCTAACAGTGATAACATGATAATAAGATGAACAATAGAAAATTTATGGAAATCAAAAACTCTTACTTGAACTTCTCATTAATATATCAAATGATTCTGCCCATTTCTCTAATTCTTCTAATGTTACCCTAAAAATGAAAATTCAATAAAATGGTGAAATAACAAAAAGGTTTTTTTTAAATTGAGACTATGAATCAATTGACTTTAGAACATTATTTAAAACTTTAAAGGGTTGGGCAGCCGTTTCGTCCTAGTATATCACCGCTCAGTAGTGCACACCCTTAATTATTAACTTACGCCAGTCACTCCTAATGGAGCATAGACCGCCGACCAACATTCTCCAACCCACTCTGTCCTGAGCCTTCCTTCCTAATTCCATCCAATTCTTGTTCATTTTTCTCATGTCTATCTCGATTTCCCGGCGTAATGTGTTCATTGGTCTTCCCCTTTTTCTTTGGCCTTGAGGATTCCATGTGAGTGCTTGTCTTGTGACGCAGTTGGATGCTTTCCTCAATGTGTGTCCTATCCACTTCTAGCGCTTCTTCCTAATTTCTTCCTCCACTGGGATCTGGTTTGTTCTTTCCCCCAGTTGGTTGTTGTACACCCACTAGGTTCGAATGTCACAAGTGGGATCATGGATGTATACTGTTGAGGAGTCCCATACTGGGACGAAACAGTTATCTAGGTTTTCAATGGTGATTTAACATTCATTCATTCACGATATAGAACAATCTTCAGTTTATATCTTAAATGAATCAAATTTTCCATCTTTATTCTTATATAAATACAAAATGGAATAGTAATTTTATGCATTAAAAGCATCAATCATTGAAACACCTTTTCCCTATATCAAAAAAAACGAAATGATAAATAGTCATATCTAAGTCATTTATCTATCTAATTAGTTATGTAAGTTTAATGCATAGACTTAATTTCTTTTCAATTCCTCCATTTAATGAATATATATCTGGAATCAAGACTACTTTAGAGTAGTAGTTTAGTGAATGAGAACACAAGTGAGGACAATTACAGAATGTTTTAGTATCATCTAAGAAGCATACAGTGAATACTTCATTTGGAAAGTATCAATCAGTCGTCTCAGATTTCAATGTTCTTTCGTTCCTACAATCTCTGTTCTTGTTCTCTTTTCTTGGATCTTCCTAACTTTCCGCCACCAGGCATTTCAATTTCGATTGACGATACATACTAATTATATCTGTCGACATCAGTAGCACACAACACAGTTGCTACCTTGACGTGGTGATCGTGCTTGCCTATTGTGATGAAGCAACCAAGCTATACTGGCTGGAACAACTGTTCCTCAAGGTCCTACCATGTCAGACAGGTCGGTTGAAGAGCGGTAAGACTAAAAGCAACAAACCCAAGGTCCGAGGGAGAAGTCGAACTGCTGACTGTACAGAGGTGTGATGGCAGTAAGGTGTTTCTTTCAGACAACCAGTATAACAGCGATACTACCTTCCCACAGGGAGGAGTGGGGTTAGAAATGGTCAACCCTAAACATGCACACCTCACCTTATCCCATGGATATCCGTCTCCGGCGGTAAGGTCACAACACAAAAATTACCAATAAAAAGGTCGTGTGTGACCGACCTCAAGCAGTTGTCCCTTGGGCACTGCAGTCACGCTCCCGGGTCACTAAGACCACCTCTAATCCAGTTTCCTTTTCAGGCACCTCCAGAAGAACCCTTCCACGGTGTGGGCAACCGGGAAGTGATAACCGCTTTCATACCTCTAACAGCATTCAAGACCACTGTATTCGTAATAATAATAATAATAATAATAATAATAATAATAATAATAATAAAGTCTTGAAGACGTTAGTGATTAGCTTCAAGGTGGATTTACTGTGGAAGTTATCTTAGTGACAACCTGAATTGTGAATGGATATTATTATTCATAAGTAAACAAGTAACCAATCAGTTTTTAGTTTGAACTGTCACCACTAATCTGACTCAGTTTCACCCATCTGATCCTATTTGTCTTTATTGGACAGCTACTATTAATCGATAGACATTTTAGTATCTTTACAAGTGTAATTTCTTATACAATTTTTTATTCGATTTGTTATATCTCCGACTATTGTTTGATAGTAGTACAGACCAAAATTGTACTTTATATAGACTCTGGTACTACATTACTATAGTGAACGAACAAAAATAAAATCAGTTGTATAATGTAAAGTTAAACGTATCGCAAACTGATCGAATTTGAAAAAAATATGAATAAACCGGGCATGCTTAGTAGCTAAACAGTATGTTACTAGCATGGATATCTAGAAGTTATCGACTGGATGCTAATGTACAGTATGAGTTCAATCTATTTCAGTACTCACTAACTTCCAACAGTTCAGTAATTCATATTAGTTTATGGTGAAAAGAATTGTGTAAAAATTACTCGTATATTAACGAAGATGACTGAAGGATAACGTATTAAACATATGATTGATATGTTTTTCACCAAATGCCAATGTACTGCCGAGAGTGGGGAGAGTCAGCTCTCCCTCTATAAATGCTCTCACATGGCAACGTGTATACAACCACTACCACAAAGTCCTACTCACTACACTCTCGCACCACACGTGTTGTTTACGAAATTCAGAGGACGAAGAGTGAATGTCCGGCACTATAACCGGGTTGGTGGATATGGAGAGTCCATCTAGAAGAGTTGGAAAACTCTCATTCCATACCAATGGTGTACATGGTCTCCAGTATCCTGAAGGAATAAATGGTGTATGAATCAATCGTTGGTCACCGGCTACCATGTGACTTCATCTCCTTACGTTGCTCCACTGCTTTGTGGATCAGACCATAAGTTCGAAGGCTCCGAGTGTGGCTCCCTAAGAATACCACCTGCTTCGGTTTGGGTATCCGGGCAGTATCACAGCTCTCACACACAAATCAAGTGACTTGTGTGGCTCTTATCTATTCAGTACCCCTTTGTACCAATATTTATATGTTCAAATAAATAATAAGAAAATTTCCACAAAATACTAGTACAAATATCATGGATTTCTGATCGGACTTGTTTTGACTTCGCTCCCAGAATCCCGGTATATGGTTTCGTTTTATTGAACATAGCCAGTAATAAGCTTACATTATTTATGTTTGTACATTATATACTAGGCTGTGTTTGGTCGGGAAAAACTGTGATTAGCCTTTACTTAATGTTATTGAAAATGACTGTAGAGTCGTTCTCTCCTAGAAATAATACTAAACGTGTACTCACTGAGGATTAATTTCGTGATAAGATTTTGAAGTTTGAGTGACCAGTGAAATCCAAATATATCTGGACTGAAAAGTAACTCATTGATGACATAATGTAGATGAGTGCACTTATGTTGCATATTTAAACAAGTTAGGTATGAACTTAGTGACTGAACAATATCTTGATGGTTGGAATACCCGAAAATCTCAAGTTGAACTTCTAATGTGGTTGATGAGTACATACTACTAAATAGTAATAGAATTAGCAAAGCAACAATATCGTGTCTCTTATAAATGATTTTCCAACTGATATCAAATCGTAATGAAAATGAAACTTCTCATCTTAATTACAGCTATTCTGAATTTAGAATATCTACTGGGAATCTAAAACCTCCCTAGCAACTATGCAATTCTGAGCACGACTAACATGAAAGAAAAAGTATTCATATAACGCTCATTTGAATGGTACACCCTGGATTAGACTACTAGTTACTATAAAGATTTACAAAAAAAACTTGTGACTAAAAGACAATATCAAGCCAATCAGCCTAGTATGCTCAAAGTTCAACAGAGAATTACTATACGTAGTTCTGAATTTCAACAACTCAAAATCATAAACTCTTTATAATACCTCTACACTTATTGACTAGGTTGATAATCATTCAGACTTGATATCTTAGTGGGTAATGAGTTGAGGTACGATACATTTCATATTCACTTATTATTATCAACTTGATAGTTAGTGTTGGTCATTATTTTTAGTTGTGCTGTGACATTTGAAGTTGATTTAAATAGTAAAACTATTGTCGTTTATGGTGCACCGTCGGTAGAATATAGAGACTATCTAGTAGTCTTGACTCCTATATACTTATTTGTGCGGCAAAACAAACAGACATTGTTACAAGAACTTATGTCTATAGTATATATTTTATTCAGGATCTTGATACAACAGTTGTATCCAGTAGTTTCCATTACTAAAAGCTATACAAAATTTGTGATATTCAAATACCCTCCCCCCCTCTGATATACAGTACAGTTATCTCATCTCCGTTTTCGTTGTTCAAGATATTCCAGAAAATATTTAAAAACAATTTTTTTCAACTGCCAAGTTACTGTTTCAAGTTTTATCGTCATAATATTAGTTCAATGTTGTTCTCATATGATCATTTTGAATTTCATGCGCCAAATAAATCATTCGATTTGTGTGAGGGCTGGAAGACTACTCAAGTGCCCAAAACGAAGCAGGTAATGTTCTTAGGCAGCCACACTCGGAGCCTTCAAACTTATGATCTGATCCACAAAGCAGTGGAGCAACGTAAGGAGATGAAGTCACATGGTAGCCGGTGACCAACGGTTGATTCACACACCATTTATTCCTTCAGGATACTGGAGACCATGTACAACATTGGCATGGAATGAGAGTTTTCCAACTCTTCTAGATGGACTCTCCATATCCACCAACCCGGTTATAGTGCCTGACATTCACTCTTCGTCCTCTGAATTTCGTAAACAACACGTGTGGTGCGAGAGTGTAGTGAGTAGGACTTTGTGGTAGTGGTTGTATACACGTTGCCATGTGAGAGCATTTCGAGAGGGAGAGCTAATTCTTCCTAGGGCATTTGAGGGCTACATTCTTTAATTTCATTTTCAACTGATATAGCTATCCATCACCAGTTCAAAACTTCAATCACACGCATACATAACACAGGTCATCAAGATCGAACAGATTCAAGCTGATGAGTAACTGTGTACAAACTGATTTGGTTCCGTCTACAATCATCTGCTTACAGTACCAAAACTTATTATGAAATTGCATCTTAGTATTGTATATTTAAGAAGACAATAAACGGTGACATGCTTTACTGTTTATATTAATTACATAGCAACATAATTTAAAACTGTTGAATACAATAAAAGGGGGGAAGAACGGCAAAAACAGAAATTATTCACATGTAGGTTACCTCTTTTTTGGCTGTTCATTTTAAAATTTTCGAAAAATATTGATAAAAAGAAAGGAATATGAATACACACACACACACACAGAGTTGTCATGTTTATCTTCAATACATTCCTTTTCCCTTTTTTCTTTCCTTATACCATGTGATCTCCGAAAATGGATTTATTTGTATCTTCTAATTGAATCATCTACGAATGGTAACTACTAGGAATTATTTGTGGACTGTTATTACATATATTCCAATTGGATAAATATGAAGTAACTAAGTTATCAGAAGGGGGTTTCTGTGGATATTATAGTAATTTTAATAGTTCAGATCATGATTTAACTAAAACTACAGATTAAGCGTTCGCGTGCGAGACTAATAGGTTCTGGGTTCGTATCTTGCGAGGCAGGATCACGGATATGCACTGCTGAGGAGTCCCACAAAAGGATGAAATGGCCGTCTAGTGTATTCAGGTTTTCCATGGTCGTCTAGCTTTAATTAAATCATGATCTGAACTATTCCTCTTATTATAAGCTTTATTTTGACTCATAAACTATTATTTTACAACTTACCGTTCTTACGTCATGCCCAGTCTACTAATTACAGTCTCGCACATTCACAGCCACTTTTGGCTAGATCTTGTAAAAATGTTATTTTCTATTTCATAGTATGATGTAGTCTGGTTTCTTTGTATATAAACTGCGTATGTTTGAAATACATGATTCATATATTAGAGGCTGATATTGGTGTTCTGAACTCAGCAGGCTGAGTTAGACAAGAAGAATCAATAAGGACTCTAGTCTGGTAGTATCGGTTAACATGTCATTGATTTGGCACAGTGCTAATATTGTATAAGTCGTGTTCTGATCAATGATAATATCACGTGATATAATTAACAAGTCAAAAGACATAGAAACTACAGTGTATCTCTGAGCTAATCAAATCCAAGGGGACTGCCCTCTGAATTTCGTACGAAATTCATCATCATCATGATTACAGAGATGATGTCATAATCTTTTTCAACATACTTACATCACCAGCTCATCGATAATTCAGTGAATCATTAATAAAATGATTTCTTTTCAATGTTACTTATAAATAAAACAAGTGCTCACTGGTGACTGGCTTCAAGAGGCATTTCCTGCAGTTCTACACCAAAGCTATCTCGAACTCATATTTTAGATAATAAGATAGAAAAGTCACTCATTTTATAATTTGTCTCAAATACTCAAAACTTACTCTTATTAATTTTTAATAGTTGAATTCACGAGTCGATTGAAGCTAGAGCGCCATGGAAAACCTGGAAGCACTAAACGGCCGTTTCGTCTTAGTTTTGGGATTCCTCAACAGTGCACATCCATGATGCCAGTCACCACACTAGCATAGCTGATTTGGAAAGTCTATAGGAAGTATATTTATATGGACTCGACGCCGTGTAACATAATACTATCCTAATAATAAACATCTACTCATTTCTGACGAAGCTTGAATAGGATACCCGAAATTCTAGTGAGAAGCTATGACAAGTTAAATCTTTTTGCACATATCAGAAATGAAACTTTTGTCAAAGACAAAAATGGATGATGGTCGTGAAGTAGTTATAAATGTGAATCACTATATATCCAATCAATAGTCTGATGGTAACACACTTGGAGATATTACGTGTTTATTGCTGAGGAATCCAATATTTTAACAAAATAGTCTTATGTATTCTTTACTTTCCCATGGTTACTCAGCTTAAATCATTACAAGATTTAAACAATCTCTAAATCAGAGAATCTTTAGAAACTTCTTATCCCTATAATAATAGTCATAGGATCTATTGAGATTAGTTGAACGACTGTAGTATATCTACGACTGTTTCAATGAAACTTAAAACTATCAATGCATGATAAGAATAGACACCGATTGATTAGGACTAAATGAGAGTTATAAACCAGTTAGAATTATGATTTACAGTTGATGGTTAAGGTTAGAAATTACATTTAGGGTTTTCATCACTAACTGTCATTAGCTATAATGCCAAAACTCTATTTAGTCAAATGGATGAATGAATTTCGCGCCAAATTCCGAAACTAGTCATCTTATACTTGATTGGTTCGTTCATAAATTATAGTTTCGCCGAGATTTTGCCAATGTAGACTGTTACTAAAATGAGTTATGAGGTATGTTATCTCCTAATGAAATCGATCATCAATATTGAAATGAAATAATCAAGTAAGAATTTTAAACAATAAACAAAACTGAAAATATCAGAAGCGGTTTTCTGGAGATTGTAGTAATTTCAATAGTTGAGATCATGATTCAGTTGAAGCTAGACTACCATGGAAAACTTGGAAGCACTGAACGGCTGTTTCGTCCTATTGTGGGACTCCTCGTGGATGTGAACTACTGAGGAGTCTTACAATAGAACGACAGGTCTGTCTAGTACTTCCAGGTTTTCCATGGTAGTCTAGCTTCAATTGAATCATGATCTCAATTATTGAAAAAACTGAAAATATTGAGATGGTGGAGAAGATTTTTAGCTCATGCGAATGATTTTGATGAAGCTTTATTCTCTGAGCTGGATAGTTTGGTCGTGGAGCTTTCATCATTCTCCTGAACGACATCATCAGCACAAACTAACTGAAGCTCAGAGAACAAAACTTTATAAAAATTGAAAATACATTAAATCCTATTAAACTGACATTTAACAAGAGATAGAACAATTGGTCAGTAGAATTTACTCTATTGATATTTGCAACAAGACTTAGACAACTGTTTTGCTATTGTATATAACTTGTCAGAAGCGTAGCTCACCACCCCACTAGTCGTTGAGCTGTAAGAATGTCAAACCTAACGGTGAATACTTAACATTCAAATCACCGAGGTGACATCTGATGTTTTGCACTTCTAGTTTCAGTCAGTTTGCAATATTGTTCAAGCGTTGCTTACTACCATTGCTAATATCTGTCTTCTGACTCTATTAGTCATTGTTTCTCATTAAAGCTCTGAGGATTAACTTTGAAAGTCATTCACTAGTAATCACTTAATGATTATTGGTAAACCATTCAGTAAAAAACTGATTAGTCTAATGGTAATGTATTGTCTGAGAGGCTTGAATGACCCAACTTCAATATCTCTTGTAGTCATGATTAAACATTACTAAGGAGTCCTATAATAGAACAAAACATTTCATAAGTCCTTTCTACTTTTCAAAACGTTTGTTTAGTTAAATCGTAAATTCAACCGTTTTAGCAACCTTGTAATATGAATAAGTCTTCTTCTTCTTCTTCTTCTTCTTCTTCTTTACATCAGTTAGTTGAATAGATCAGGTATATTCGAATAGAATTTCAATGAAGTAAACAATAAAATTATTGGTGATAACTTACTTTTCATCGGAAATTTGACAATCTACTGTTGATTGTGGATCATTGGATGCAGATGGTCTTTTGGATTCACCAAGATTTGCACGTACACGCATACTATATTCATCAGAATACCAAATATGAAACAAGAGAAAGAAAAATTATACAAATTATTCTACTTAACTAAGAATAGACTTTATTTATGTAGTTATGTAAAGTATATCAACTGTGGTACCATTAGGCATCAAATAAATGAACCATGTAAATAAAGGGAAGCATGATTACTAGTGGCTACTATTTTGAGTTATATCTGTTAACATGTTAACGTAATGAATTGGATAATCTCTAATGCGTGAATCGAGCAGTCGTGATGAACTGAGAGATGTCAGTTCTAAACAACTACTTTTCAAAGTCAAAGCACCATATTATAAACTGATGACATTTCTGCTTCCTGTACTTAGTTTCAGCGTCAGGAAGTCACATGGTGAAGTCATGGAAACCAATGTTTTTGAGAAACCAACACTAGTTGTATTATCATTACTTTACCTAAATACATATTACTAGACTTCTTTGAGTTGTATGAACTGCTCCCCAAATAAAAAGAAATGATATTGTGTTTCAGCGTTTATTCAAGTGGATGACATCTTTACGTATTTTAATATTTAAACAACAGTGTGGTATTACAACAGTAAGATTTTATGAAGATATCTTTACTCGGCCGATGGACTACATTCTGAATGAGCATCATTTGGGACTAAAGTGAAAACTCATGACAGATGAAAGTGATCCATGTTGACGAGAGTGACAATCATCACTGAAAATTTTAAATGATTGCCTAACATTGCCACAAACTGATTGATCTTAACACATTAATCTGACGGTTTATTATATTCCAAGAGTATCTAGAGTCTTGAGTTTGATCTCTAGTAGTTTCATGCTTTGGACTGTCTACACGTCTTAAACAACAGTGAAGTTTCTGGAAAGTGTTCTTTGATTTTTGAGGGTCCTCGACTCGATGAAAATCCATGGAGAATTTCAAATTAAGTAATTCACATAAATCTCTTCCCTGTTCTAATAACATAGTTCACTAATTAAAAACACATAATTTTGATCAAACAGCTAGTTGAAACTATAAAGCACTGGACAGTTGTTTCGTTCTAGTATGAAGCTCACCTGAAGTGCTCATTTATAAACCTCACCAGGGATAGTATCCTGAGCCGTCAGGCCAAGAAGACTTTAAACCAATCCAACACTTGGCTTTAAACGCTTGATGAGTTATCGTCATAGCTAATCGGTTCAAATATCTGAGTGAACATCAACTCTAAGATGTAGGTACATCCAGATGATGAGCTCCAAAATGCGCGTCTCGGATTCCACTACTAGCCATATTCAATCTACTCTATAAAAACGCGTTTTAATGTTTAATTTTAGACGGTTTTAAAATGAAATCAAAAAGTCGTTTCTCTATTAGTCCGACATTCATTCGTCAGTCACTAGTAACATTAATAACTAAAGTATTCGGTTTATTCAGTATCATATACTTGATTGAGGTAATAAAATTTGGTAAAAGTATAGTTTAAGGACTAGTCAATTAGAATCAAGGATTAGACTTTCAGGCTTTTGCTCTAAATTCTGCTATTATGTGTAACGAACAATTGAAATACCTTCGTATACTGCTCAGAAGTTTTAAAATGGTGCCGAAAAGTTAGTTTTTGCCCTCATAAAGTAGAAATGATTGTAATAAACGTATCAAATGAGTAATTCTATATCTTTAGACTGTATCAGTCAGTCAGTCAGTCAGCTACAACGTAGGACCAGGCACATATGTGCATCGGTCCAGGTTGCCATACCGCATCAGTACAACAAGATGAACACCGGATTCATAGCAGTGGTTAGGTCAAAGGTTGCAATAAGGATATAGTATAGGAAGAAAGAATTAGTTCGTAGAAAGAAAGATATCAAGTGATTTTAGTCTCTTAGTTTAAGGGAAGACAGGGAGTGTATACACCGACGCCATTGTGATCGATTCTGAGCCATGTCACCAAGAGTCTCCAACCATTGGTTACGATAGTCACGCGGACCCCAACCAAGTAGTCTGCATCTACCAACATGGCTCAGACTAGAAGTTAGTGACTTCAAGGACTGATGCCACGTTTTGGTTTGGCCGCCCCTAACTTTCTTCCAACCATCCCCTACCCCGGTTAGCATTGCACGTCGTGGTAATCGGTGTTCAGGCATACGTAATACGTGGCCCAACCATCTCAGTCGATGAAGATTCATAACCTCATCAACTGATTTACCATCATTCCCTAATACCCTGCGTCTAACCTCACTATTAATTACCCGGTGATCCCAACAGATGCCAGCAATATTTCTAAGGCATCTGTGGTCAAATACTAATAGCTTAAGAGTGTCTTCTACTCTTAATGGCCATGTTTCGCTGCCGTAAAGTAAAACAGAACGGACTGCCGCGCAGTATACTCGTCCTTTTATTGATAGATGGATATCTCGCCTTCGCCACAGGTGACCGTTGTTGCTACCTTGACGTGGTGGTCGGGCTTGCCTATCGTGATGAAGCAACCGAGCTATACTGGCTGGAACAACTGTTCCTCAAGGTCCTACCATGTCAGACAGGTCGGTTGAAGAGCGGTAAGACTAAAAGCAACAAACCCAAGGTCCGAAGGCCAAGTCGTACTGCTGACTGTACAGAGGTGTGACAGCAGTAAGGTGTTTCCTTCAGACAACCAGCATGACAGCGATGCTGCCTTCCCACAAGGAGGTGTGGGGTTAGAAAAGGTCGACCCTAAAAATGCACACCTCGCCTTATCCCACGGATATCCGTCTCCGGCGGTAAGATCTCAGCAAGTACGGAGCTAACACAAAAATTACCCATAAAAAGGTCGTGTGTGACCGACCTCAAGCAGTTGTCCCTTGGGCACTGCGGTCACGCTCTCAGGTCACTAAGACCACCTTTAATCCAAATTCCTTTTCAGGTACCTCCAGAAGAACCCTTCCACGGTGTGGGCAACCGGGAAGTGAAAACCGCCCTCATACCTCTAACAGCACTTTAGACTGTATACAACAAGTAAATAGACATTTAGTTTCTATGGAACTATATTTAATATGTGAACTAATCAGATAGCGATTCCTATTTTTTGTGTTAAATTCACTCATCTGTTTGGCTACAGAGTATTTCTCCATTTGTCTAACGTCATTTTGTGATAAAATATCTAATCTTAGACTCTTTGTCCTTACCCTAACTACATAACTTCAATCAGAAACAATATGAAGACTCTGTAAATTCCATTCGGATCCTTTCAGGAGTGAATAGTTGGCATCACTGCAAATGCTAGTTATCTCAGCGAAACCCCTTACTGCTGTCACATTTCTCAGCACAATTACTAATATGACTACGCCCTTGGACCTTTTATTCATACTGCTCGCCAAATAATCTGTTTTCCATGGCAGAACTTAAAAAACAATGATCTAGACAACATAGATCATGATAATATACAAACTGGATCATCACGTCAAGGTACCATTAACGGTCTGGACTATTAATGATCATACAATGATAACATTTATCAATATGGGGTTTTGAAGATTATTAAGTTTTTGATTAAGATCATGAATTGCTTGATGTTAGATTACTATTGAAAACCTGGAAACACTAGACGGTCGTTTCGTCCTATCATGGGGCTCCTCAGCAGTGCGTATCCACGATGGCATGTATCCATTAATCGATAATCTTTCTGTAAAACTTTTCATTCTTATTTCATTCCCTAATTGTAAATATTAAAAAAATTTCCGCTAAAACTTATCTTTAATTATTATGCCAACTTATTTTGTACAAATTTGTAATGATTTTAACGACTGATATTGACAATTACTCGGACTGTTAAGTTCTCTATTTGATTAACGCAGATTACGATAATACAATTACGGTACTCGAACGCTTAGAAGCCCCCCCCCCACAGTCTCAAATCAGAAGACAGAAGAAAACTGGAGAAGTGCATGTTGGGTAAGAATCAAAATGTATAGAAAATCATGGGTATTTATAGAGATTAGCACTTTTTCATATCAACATTATAATCCAACCAATCCTCAAAGAGGTATGTTATACTACTGTCCTAAAGTAGCATAGCACGTTAATATTTTAGAACGTTCCATCATGTTTTGACTGAATGGAAACTCTTTGGGTTCTTTAGGGCCTCTGGAGTTCACGGAAGCCGTCCCAACACAAACTTTATGGTAAATATTGCATATTGAACAAAACTTTTATTCATTCTAATTACATTCAAGATACAATTATTTATGTGCGTTTCCAAACGGTAACTAATTATCCTTGTTACTAAAAGGTAAATTTGAACTCTCAAATTTTTTTTTAAAATTTTAGTCAGGTAACCGTTGAAAACTAGTAAAAACTAAATGCAGTTTTTTTGTCCTACAATAGGACTCCTTAGGGTTGTATATTGATGGACTTATCAAGAGTCGAACCTTTGACTTTCATTTCTTGTGTAAAACATTTAACCGTTAGAATATCAAATTGATGTCCAGTGGTATATAGTGCCAACTAACTGAGACATATAGATGAAATCAATCAGTGAAAGCTTTTCACTAGGACTCGGAAACTCATCTCTTAAAGTAATTTATTAACAAATATAAAGTGAATTTTAGTAAAGAAGTAGATTTGATGATTGTCGAATTTTGCGATTTTACAAATGTCATTAATGACAATGGTTGATGGTCACTCAATAGTCACGAATTATTATTATTTAAACACATAAACATTGGTACAAGGAAGCACCAAACTGATATGCGCCACATAAATCATTCAATTTGTGTGAGGGCTGGAAGACTACCCTGGTGCCCAAACCAAAACAGGCGGTATTCTTAGGGAGCCACACCCATGAAATTCAGTGACCAACGATTGGTTCATACGACATTTGTTCCCTCTGAATCCCATGTACAGCACTGGTTCGGAATGAGGGTTTTCCAACTCCTCTACGTGGACTTACCGCATCCACAAACCCGGTTAATGTGTCGGACATTCGCTTTTTGTCCTCTGAATTTCGTAGATAACGCCGATGGTGAGAGGGGGTAGTGAGTAGGACTTCCCTGTCAGTGGTTGTATGCATGTGGTCATGTGAGAGCATTTCTAGAGGGAGAACTGACTCGCCCCATTGTTGGCCATACCAGGGTATTTGGGGGCCAATAAATTCTTATTATTGTTGTTAAAGATGAGGACATTTTTCGGGATTTTGTTTTTCAGTTTAACAGTATGTTTAATGACAGCTTAATGTCAATCTCAAAGATATTGACTATGAAAGAGTACTGTATAGCTGTGGATCACTTCAGTGGAAAATATTTTAACAAAATTGTCACAATCAGGACCACTTATATAAAACACAGTAACCTGAAATTTAGTTCTCATAATGACGTTTCGTGGTACTTGGATAATTTAGACTAAATCTAATTCTTCAGTCAGTTTGTGATATTACTCAATGCTCGTATAAAGTGGTTCGATATGGTTGAAGTTTATAAGTCACAGCTTCACAATTAAATGTTAATCTAACTATGATCTCAGCATCACCATTATGATGGTGGGTTGTATAGCGCACATAGTATTGAGTCATTAAGGCTGGTGATTGACACATACCAACATGATCGACATAAGTCATCACTTGATGATTCACCAATACAAATACATCAACCATACTGTAATGAACGAGACTCAGATGGGGACAACCAATTTATTAATTAGTACAAAACTAAAGAATATCTTCGTAAAATGTGAGAACCATACACGAAATATTTCATTCGCAGATCTCCTGTCAATTGTCTCTCACATTCTGTATGATTCTTTCAATTCGCATTTCCTTTCTATCTCTGTTTCTGTTTTCTTCAACTCGATCTCCTTAGCCTTCTGCCGCTATGCACTCCACTTCTGACTGGTGTTACATACTACTTATGTCTGTCGACATAAGGAGCATACACTATAATACAGGACGTCAGCCGCTTGGTAATGCCTCAGATTATAAAGCTCAATGATCAAGGTTTAAATCAACCGTGGAACAACTAAAACATGAAAATTGCAGGTATAGCTTACTGATGAGTTCCAAATAGCACGAAACGCATGTCAAGCAGGATTTCCAGTCGACTCTCTCCAACTGCTTAACATCGAAGGTGGTTTATATATTTTGTAAACTGTTCGTAGTCACATATCTAAACCACTAAGTTCCAACTAGCAGATGTAATTTTATCTTGCTATTTCTCTCTAAACTATTTAAATGTCCATGTTCCAGTCCATGAAAGAATCATCAGTGTACACTAATTTGATATCTCATACTATAAACTACAACATATATTCAAGTCAGTATGGGGATTTGTGGAGATTGGAGTATTTTAACAGTTGAATTCATGAGTCAATCTAAGCTAGATCACCATTAAAAACCTTGGAGCACTGGACGTCCCACGTGCCGTGATTGTGACTGAGCACTACTGAGGAGTTTGATACTGAGACAAAATGACCATCTAATGCCTTCACGTTCTCAATGGTGGCTTAACTAAGATCAACTAGTGGGTTTAACAGTTAAACTATATTCAAATCTTACTTCCACTTTCATTAATTTTTAAGTTGGTTTTATTTACAAAATATGATCAACCCAATCATTCCATTCAATAGTGTTATATCCCGATGAAACTAATGAATGCTAACTGTTATGATCTATTTATGGACTAATACTATACATATGTTCTTATTGTATATTTGTTAAGTAACTAACCTATATATATATTCATATTCCTCCTATTGTAAGCTTTACTTTGATCTATAAACTATTATTATACAATTTACTGTTCCTAAGTTATATCCAGTTTATTAATTACAGTTTCCCACAATCACAGCCACTTTTGGCTAGATCTTGTACAAATGTTATTTTCTATTTCATAGTATGATATGGTCTGTTTGGTTTGTATATAAAAGTATGTTTGAAATATAATGATTCATATAACAAAGGGTGACATGGGTATTCTAGAATTAACAGGCAAGCAAGTCTATACAGGAAGCAGGACCGTTAAAAACTCTAAACTGCTTGTACAGGTTTATGAGTCACTAGTTCAGTCGAAAAGTCATTGTTCTCAAAGTAGCGGTATCATTGCATTACATATATATTGATAGGGGCCACAAAGCCATAAGTTATAACAAATATGTTATGCAACACAAATGAATACATTATTATCAGAATGGGTTTTGTGGAGATTTTTAGAAAGTTCACTGATTAAAATCATGAGTCAATTGAAGCTAGACCACCATAGAAAACCTGGAAGCACTGGACAGCCGTTTCGTCCTATTGTGGATTGGTTGAAGTTAGACATTAACACTATTGTACGCCGGCCCAGCGGTCTAGTTGGTTAAGCGCCTGGCGCGAGATTGATAGGTCCTAGGTTCGAATCCCCCAGGGTGCGGGATCGTGAATGCGCACTGCTGAAGAGTCCCACACTAGGACGAAACGGCCATCCATTTCTTCCAGGTTTTCCATAGTGGTCTAGCTTCATCTGACTCATGATTTCAATCAGTGAAATACATTATTAACTTGAATAATAATAAAAAAAAAAAAAACAAATCTCAATCAGATCAATATTATTGATTATTGAACATTGATTTACTTACCATGAACATGAACAACAACAACACCAACAAAAACAACATGTTCTTGATCTTGGATCTTGTATAATTTGATTTGTATTAGTTGTTGAATTTAAACTACGTCTTATTGTGGATACTTCATTGTTAATAATCATTTCTTCATTATGTTTATCTTCAATGATTGTATCAAAATGTTCATTTGTATGTTTGGTACTTTTATTATTACTACCGTTGTTGTTGTTGTTGTTATTGTTGTTGTTATTATTATTATTATTGATTGGTATCAAGGAATCTTGACATGAATTCGTTGAATCTATTGGTACAGTAATTGTATGTTGATGATTTATTGTTTTAATATTACGATTACTACTAGTTTTATATGTTGCTTCAGAGATATAACTTCTTAATGTACCACGTAGAATAGAATAACTTGGAATACTATTACGAATAATTGATTTATAATGTTGAGGTTTCTCCTTATTATTATTATTATTATCATTATTACTATTAGTGTTATTATTATTATTTTGTGTATCATTTGTAAAATATAATGATATGCGTTGAAATGGTCCACTTATGGACTCGGAATGAGATCGATCCGTTTTTATACAAGATTTTGTATGATTATTACTATTATTATTATTATTATCAATACTATTGTCATTATGTATCAAAAGTGTTTCCCTTGTGTAATTTCTTCTATCACAATATGTATTCAAATGATTTGAAGTATTAAATGTTTCACTATAGAGATAATTCAAGCTTTGTACATGATTATTTTCATTTATACTACTTATATTATTATTAGTAGTAGTATTAGTTGTTGTTGTTGTGGTGGTGATTGAAGTAGTATACGGAAGATTTGATTGATTGAGCTCATGATATGCATAATTTGATGATGATGGTGATGAACATTGAACATTTGTTACATAATTAATTGAACATTGACTTGGTGTTATAATATGTAAATTATCATGACAGAAATTTGCTGGAAATAATAATTTACTATTATCTATATCATTATGATGATTAATATTATTGTAATAATAAGAATGATTATCATGATTAGATAAAGGATCATAAGATTCATGCTTATACTCTGATAATTTCCCTGTTGTATTTGGTCTAATCTCATATGTTGAACATGATGGTATAGCTGATGTGGATTTTTGTCGAGTACCCATCATACCGGTCGATAAACTATTATTATTATTATTATTATTATTATTATTATTATTAAAAGTAGTAGTGGTAATGGTAGGTTGAAGTAAATTTAATTGATGTGTACAACTTGGTAATCGATTATGACAATAACGGCACATATTTTGATCATTATCAATATCACGTAGACTAGAATATGATGAGATTGGAATAGTTGATTTTGTTAATTCACTAAAAGAAAAAAAACAAATGGGGAAAATCAGTAAAAATTAAAATGATCTGATATTTATTTTGTAATGTTTGTGTTGAATCTCCCCATTGAACGGTACTGGGTTCGAGTCTCGGAACGGACATAAACTCTGGGATACAGGTTCATCCTAAATAGGACAAAATGCCTGTTTTGGATTCCGCTATTAGCCACTATCCATCTTTGCTTATGATGATTTGACATTTTCGTTAAAGATATGTCCTCTAATAAGTCAACAAATTTCCAAGTGGAGCTGATCCATGTCAGGTAGGGACGGGTATCTATCTCAGACAATGGACGATCGTCGCACAGTTTTGTGAATCGGCTGAGGTTAGACATTAACAACGTTGGGTGCCAGTTCAGTGGTTTAAAGTTTAAGCATTAGCGCGCGAGACCGAAGGTCCTGGGTCCGGATGTCGCGTGTGGGATCAAGAATGTGTACTGCTGAAGGGCCCAACACTAGGACGAAACGGCCGTCCAGTGCTTCCAGGTTTTCAATGGTGGTCTAACACTCATCGATTCATGATCTCAATCAAAAACTTTCCGAGTATAGTAATATTTCTAATGAATTGAACCTATCAGCTTTTATATATGCATGGAGATGTAAAAAATGAAATTAACGAAATGTACAAGAAATCTATAATATATATCTTTCAAATGGATTATCACCCATGTTCTATTTAGCCATGAAATTAGTTGCTATGGTTACTGATCGACTACAATGAACACTTAATTGTAACTTGATTCATAGGATTCTATAAATACTAACAAACTAGAAAAAAATGACACTGATTAATAGTCCGTACTTAACAGATATAAAAGATTCAGTTCTATAGTAAATTAGTCACTGTATTCATAACCCAGGAGTAACGATTCACACTGTGAAACTGAGTAACCAGACTTTGAATTCTACAGATTACATGTGCACTTTATTGATGATTCCGAACTGATATGACATAGATGTGGTGTCGAGTTTCCTACCGAGTACCTTCAACAACCCTGAGATTTAATTAAATATATTCCATAACATGTTGACATGAATCACCTATCCATTTTAATTTGGTGGAACTATACTGTAGCGACGATCCAATCAAATTTATGATATTGACTATTGGATATTTACGTGAAATTCAGTAGAAGGTGAAGTGTAATTAGTACTTAGTTATAAAAAGGTCCAAAGTTTATAAATGTGACAAAACTATAAAAAAGTACTCCTCAGCAATTCATGTTATATTTGTGCACCATTGGATCCCAGTTCCAGCTCAGAATCTAAAGTCACGAGTTCGATACCCAGTGACGGCACCATAGATACACACAACTAAATAGTCCTATCCTAAGAAAAAATGTTCAACAGTCTCTATATTATTTAAACATAATGATAAACTTACTTATGTTCAATGTTCACTGAATCTGATTGACTTTGTAACATTTTTTCACTAGTAATTTCTTCATTACTTATATTACCTTCTTCAATAGTTTTATGTTGACCAATATTGTCATTATTATTACTATTCTTGTCATTAGGATCAGCTTCAATGACAATTTTAGTTGCCGTAGTAACAATACTACTATTAGTTTCATTATTATTATTATTATTGATTTGTAGACCTGTTTCACTACTATCACTTTTACCTAATGGTGGTAATCTTCGTCTAATCTGTATTATGTCATCATTTTTTATCATTATAGTTGATGTTAATTGTTCCGATGATTTAATTTTATCCTTTACAATTTGATTAATGAATAAGGTATCATTAGGACAATTGAAATTGGTTCTTTTTAATGAATCTGATAGTTGATATGCTTGATTATGATGATTCAATGTAGTAGTAGTAGTAGTAGTAGTATTATCATAGTTAATGGATGATGATAGATTTGTAGTGTATATAGAATGATTATGAATTGGATGCATTGAATAATTAGTAAATAATGTAGTTGATAAACATGATGATGATTGAGATAGATCAGGTTTAATTTGATCATTATCATTATGATTAGTATTATTATTTGTTGATGTTAATGATGATGATGATCTTGATGATAAATTATTGATTACTGGATTACATAATGATGTTGTACTATTTTTTAATAGGACAGTTGGTCCATTAAGCATTCTAGAAATTGAGAAACAAATAGAGATCATATATGAATGATGCAGTGGGTAGTGTTAAAGATTGGTCATTATATAATGTAAGGGTGAATTTAAATACCACCCCATTTCATAAGAAGGTGGCTATCAGAACTCAGTAGGTAAGTGGATAAAGAGAGGTTGTTTGAAGCGAACAGTAATGGGTTCGAGTCCCGGAGTGAACATCAACTGTGCGATGCAGATACATCCAGCTGACGAGTCTCGAATAAAACGTAACACACGTCCTGGATTTCACTGCTTGCCACTATCCATCTTTGCTTAAAAAGCTTGTGATTTAAGGTTATATCGAGGCAATCCGCACAGGATGTACATATACCAACATGAGACCGATCAATTACAGTCCTAAATAACCATGGGAAGATACAAGTAAAACGATACCAGGTGAAAAATTATTAACATTTTGAAATAACAGAGAAGATTGGTGGTTCAAGTGGATGCTTTTGGTAATATTGTGTATCCTTTAAGCTTCATAGTTTAGTTATGAAGCTTTCGTAGTCGTTTTGGATTATATTTTCAAGTAGAGGCTGATAATGTTGACCAGATTAACTACGAAAGCTCTACAATTAAGTCATCTAGTTTACAGGATACAACACCATCAAAGTAATTTATATTTTTCATGGATTAACACTGGTCTATGTATTATTTTGAAACCAGAAACTACTGGATAACTATTTATTCCAGCTCTAAGACTCTTCACTAGGGCTAAAAATCTACGAACTCTTCCCATAAACAACGTGAATAACATGGTAAACTACATGACAAACTATTGTACCATCATTTGATGGGACGAATTTCTAAGTTCACTTGATTAGCAACATATTTTGACAAACCGTAATATTGATGATCACCAACGGAACCATCCTCATAGTGACAACTGAATTCATTTCATCCATTTTATCTTTACATCTTATTAATAATCTGTAAGAAATGATCAAATTATGGTGTATAAAACGATTTGTGGTCAACGAAAAGTCTCTCTTATGATATACGCTTTTTGAATGAACTTTTGGCTCTGTTTTTCGGATTATACTGCGATATTCTCCTTATGTAAACTTCTTGTGAACTTATTAACCATTTTTATCCGTTTTACTGTCTTTTAGTTATTACTAACTAATTATGTACTGGTTGCTCATCCTTCTATCATTTATGGGATGACTGAGTATAATGTAAGATTTCTTATTTGACAGGGTGTGAACTCAAGTGTTTCAAGTGTCAGTATAGGGTTGTGGAAAATGTTGAGTTTTAATTGATATAATGGACCGATCAATATTGCACTACCATTGAAAACCTGAGAGTACTGGACGGTTGTTTCGTCCTAGTATGAGACTCCTCAGCAAGGCGCACCCACAATACACACGCGGGACTTAAACCCAGGACCAAACGCTGCTGTCCAGTACTCCCAGATTTTCAGTGCTAGTCTAATATTGATCGGCTTATGATCTCATTTCAGGCATATTTTTGTATGGGTTTTGAGCCATAATTGAATTGAGTACAATAGAGAACTAGGTTGTGTTCTGTTTTCGTCTTCAGTTTGGCTACTGGGTTACAAGGTGCTTTAGGACCTTTAAGCCTTAAGGCCTTAATTGTTGTTTGTTGGTTGGTGTATCTTTTAGTACTTAGAAGGTCAGCAGTCTTGCTGGCAATATAGATGAACCAGACGATAGTCAGAGTCGTGACTAGTGACTTTAACACGTGATACACATTGGCGTCTCAAGGTATAACATTTTAGACAGTGACTATAAGTGGAATCCAAGACGAGTAGTCTCATCCTATTTGAAACTTTTTAGCCGGATGTAATTACCATACGTATGGATGTTTTCATTGAGCGGCTGAAATTCAGTAACCGTTGCTTTATAACTCTCGAGAGTTATCTATTGAACTATTGATCCAGCAAGATGATCGACATCTATATTATTTGAAACTTACGCCTGTTACCCGCCCCCATGGAGCATAGGCCGCCAATCAGAAGCGAGTTCAAATGAAATAAGATAAGGAAAATATGAAAATTCACTTTAAAATTTTAGGGAAACCATGTTTCAAATTAAATTTTTTTCCTATTTTTAAGTAACTTATCAATTTTCTTTACCAACTGAGTATATTTCTCAATACTGAAAACACAAGCAATCTCATTTGTATATTATCTCAAAAATACCATTCCCAGATTTAAGTGGTCAGGAAAATGTACGCCGAATCAGTGAGATTAGATGGTGGTTGGAGGTAGTCGACAGGAAACCCTGGACCCGACTTTCGTGCTACTTGGCACTCGTCAGCAAGGTGTGCCTGTAATCTTGAGGGAACTAGTGCTCCCTGGCGGATTCGATCCCGTGCCACCCAGCTTGACACGCATGACATTGATCACCACCCAGTGATCAATCAATTGTGATTATATCTCAGTCCTACAGGAGGTCAGTCGCGGCTCGGATAGCTCAGTGGTAACGTCTTTGACTGTGAAGCTGGATGACACGGGATCGAATCCGCCAGGAGTCCCATACTAGGACGAAACGGCCGTCCAGTGCTTCCAGGTTTTCCGTGGTGGTCTAGCTTCAATTGACTCATGAATTCAGTAAATTATCGATTGAACATTAAGAGTGTAATTTATGATAGCCCCAACACCATAGATCATCCATTTATAACTACTGTTTTTTGACTGCTACAATATAGTCAAGAACTTGTCGAATTAATTTGAACAGTCACTCAAGTTCGCACTTACAGACCAGCTTTACAGTATTTTCCTTCTGTGTTTTTGTCCTCAACACATGTAGTAGAGTACTTCGATGATCAGATTCAGAAAGCCTCTTTTGTGTTTTGGATTTCTTTTCCCAAGTCAACGAAGGTTTTTATTGATCAGTGAGGGATTTTGTGGATATTTTACTAATTTAATAGTGGAATTCATGAGCCAATTAAAGCTAGACCACCATGGAAAACCTGGAAGTACTGGATGGTCATTTCGTTTTGGCATGGGACTCTTCAGCAGTACGCGTCCACAATCCCGCCTCGCGAGATTCATGTTAACGATAAGGATGAACTTGTATGACCGATCAAATAACCCTAAGATAATTTCCAGCTAAGCTTTTAGCTCATCATAAAACCGATAATGTGAATGAATAGTTTTAACATAGTATGAAGTAAATTATAAATAAATATTATTTTTTCTTAGACTGTTTAACAGTCTTTTTGTTTTTAACTAACTAAAGAAATTTGCCCATATGGCTGAAAGAATCTTTTCCATAAGTTTCTCTCAGTTTCCACAGTTATATTGTAGTGAACGTGAACAAAGGCGGAGACAACCAAATGTGTTTTAATACATCACAGAATATGATGGTAAAATCTGAGAACCCTAAAGTAAATACTTCATTCGCGAAATCTCCACCCATTATCTCAGACTTTGTTATTCCTTCGTTATCATACCAAACACTCTCTGTTCTCGTTCTCTTCTCTTCTATTTTCTCAACCTTCTACCGCCAGGCATTCCACTTTAGATTGATGATACATACTACTTATATCTGTCGACATCAGTAACACACACCACAATATATCCAAATTAATAATTCGATAGGTGATGAGGTTTACGGTACATACTTTTTTTTAACATGATAGCATGTGAATTCAGGATTATTACCATTGTTCAGATGACTAGCATGTAGTGTTAACTTGAATAAACTTATAACTCAGGAGAAAATGACTTTAAATGCCTTCCATATTTCTAATGTTTACTTACTTAGTGACTAGTAAACAGTCCAAAAGGGATTATTCACTAATAGTCAAGTGACTGGACCCCTCGATAAATTTACTCTGATTGATTTCTGTTGGTTACCGAGCATCGTGTGTGGATTGCCTTGAAATAGCCATTATGACGCGATTTTTTATAGAATAGGTGAGATATGGTTAACAAAGAAATATGAGACGTTCATTTCGCCAGCTGAATATACCTGGATCTCACAGTTGATACTCTCCCTAGGATTCGTACCTATTAGCTCGATGGATATACGGTTGAGCGTTTAAAGAAAAAGGTGCTGTGTTCGAAAATTAACTGTGGGATCCAGCTACATCCAACTGGGTGGTCCCAAAAAGGACGAAATACGCATCCTGAATTCCAATGGTAGCCACATTCTATCTATTCTGTAGAAACTTCTAACAAAATGGCTATATTGAAGTAATCCTCACAGGATACATGTATGCCAACTACGACTGACCAAGTTTAAATAAAAAATATCAACAACGAGATTATTCAAAATCATTACAATATAATATCAAGGATAGGGTTATGGAGATTGTTGAATTTCAATTGAGATCATGAATCGACCAATGTTAGACCACCACTGAAAACCTGGAAACATTGGGCTTCCGTTTCGCCCTAATATGGGACCACTGAGGAGTGCGCATCCATGATCCTACATGTGGGACCCCAACTCAGGACCTTCGGTTCTGCGAACGAACACTTGACCACTAGACCACTGAACTGGGGTCCAACGTTATTCATGTCTAACTTCAACCAATCCACGATATTACTCAACGATTTTCACATTATGTCTTTACATTATGCTCAGCAACCAACTGATATCATTTCCTAAGTGAAAGTGTGTTTATAATAATCCCTAGTCTCTTCACTCTCTCCTCAAACTAACCAATAACTATTCATAGATTCATATTCATCTTTCTAAAGAATTAACTTTAAATCAATTATCTCTAAAGCTCAATCATTATAGAAATGAGACTGATATTACTAATGTGGCTCATTAGATACAATTATCGCTCTATGTTAAGGATTAGCTAAAGTTAACAATATATACTAATTAGACAGTGATATAGTGACTTATTCGAATCATAACTCTACGAGATCTTTAGATCTATCACTCCTTTTATCTTTGAGTGAAGAAATCTCATAACCGTTACAAGTGCAGATGTCTACCTCTAACATACTCAGAATCCAGGACGAAAATTTGATCTTCCCATGTGATTCATCAA